CTCTGTATAACCGACCCAAGGTACTTGAAACTGCCACTACTTGGTATGACCTGTGATTCAAGCCTCACTTCCACGCCAATATATGAGTTTCAAGCTTCAAGTCCATCAATGGTGGATTTGACTTTTTCAAGAAAAATAAAAAGACAAAAAGGGAAAAGATAAATTATGTCAAAGGACAAAACAAAATAAAGAAAAGAAGAGCCGAGGAAAATAAAATTTCTTTAAAAAAAAGTTTCTTGGCATACGTTGAAATAAAATTCAGTATTAGCTAATTTACTTTCTACATATGCTATTAAATGTGCGAGCATAAACATTGATGTATATCTTTTTAATAATAATAATAATATCCTTTTGTTTTCTCCAAACTCATATATTTTTTATAATATTCTATATTATTTAATAAATATTATATTATTTTTTAATTAGTATTATTATGATAAGATAATGAAAAATATTGAAAAAATGTGATGCATTTAAAAGATATAAAAAGGTGCATGAATGAATCTATGAGAACATGAGCTTTCATGCTAAACAATGGTAAAGTAAGAATGGGTAGAGCGAGTAAAATAATTGTACCGCATAGGTAAAAAATGTAAAAAAAATAAACATGGATAGATACGGGTAATTGTTTTGTCTTCTATCGGTGTATAGCATAATTTTCCCATATTAAAGCCCAGTACTCAAGCCCACTATATTTTTTCATACCCCTGACGTGTCCCAAGCTGTGTTGTAGTACAAGTTGACGTAGCATACTGTCTTAGATTTTTAAGTTTCAAGCAAGCAAGGGCCGCCATTAGGAATAGGGAAAGAGGAATTTTCTAGAACCCTAACAAAAATAGTAAGGTCATAAGTAACAGTGGACATGGATATGCAAAGCGAGTTCGATCGCCTTCTCTTCTTCGAGCACGCTCGTAAGACTGCCGAAACCACCTACGCTCAGAATCCACTCGATGCTGATGTGCGTATTTCTCCTTTTTATCTTCTCATTTCAAACTTATAATTTGCTACTATAGTTTTAAGGCATATATGTAGAGTTATGTTTATTTGTGTTCCACCAGTTGATTGTTTCTATACTTGTAAGTTATATGCTATATTGCCTGAATAAACTGAATCTATTGTTTCTGATATAACAACAAATGCAGAACTTAACGAGATGGGGAGGCGCGTTATTGGAATTATCACAGTTCCAGCCCGTTCCTGAATCAAAACAGATGATTTCTGGTATTGCACTACCTACTTGAATCTTTGGCTTTGATTAAACAGTGCTAAAATTTGGATTCTTATGGACTATCTCCTGCCGTCGATAAGTATATTTGCAGACGAATTTGGGCGGATAATTTTATTTATTTTATTCAAGACAATGTTTTACTTCGAAAAAAATGTTGTTTTTGCTTGCTGTTTATTCAAATCAATCTCTATTCCCATGCTTAAAGACAGAGCTGTTTTGGTACTTTGGGTTTTTAAAATTCTCTTTTTTCGTCCGTCTTTTTTGTTGCTTAATCGTCCAATCTTTTGTTGTTTAATTCGTGGTGTGAATTAACTCTGTAGAGGCAACCTCAAAGTTGGAGGAGGCATTGGAGGTTAATCCCGAAAAGCATGAAACTCTTTGGTGTTTGGGGAATGCACATACATCTCATGCGTTTTTAACTCCTGATATGGATGAGGCTAAGATTTACTTTGACAAAGCAACTCAGTGCTTTCAGCAGGCAGTTGATGCGGTATATATTTCTCAGCAGATATTCCAAGTGTATTTTGTGCTTACTGTTGCAATCACCTTAGCTTTTTGGTCCTCTGAATGCAGGATCCAGGAAATGACATTTACCGCAAGTCTTTGGAAGTTACCTCTAAGGTGAAGCTCTTGTTTTTTTATGGGGGGCTAACTTTCGATATGTTCTATCCTCTGCATCCTTATGTTTCGTTTAGGTATTTCAAATGAATGCTTGAGCAACTTAAAAGGCAGTTATTGTAAGACAGCCTTTCAACTTTGGGGTTGAGCCAAATGCAATAAGTGCAATTATCTTATAAAAGAAGAGTAGGCAATTTCCATCAAGATATATGTTATTCCTCATTGCGTGTGCTCATACAGCTATACATACTATATCTGTGGCGTTGCTAAGTGAACTGGTTATTGTACTAATTCTGTTCTTGGAGGTCCCTTATAAAGAAATTGTGTTTCTGGAGGTCTTTTTGACTTCCTATTCAGTTCCCACTTCTTTTACATTGCTAGGAATTCACAAAAGTAGCAACATCTAAGGAAAAATAATACGTAAGACCCTAAAATGAAGAAGGAATTTAGAAAAAGGAGAGGTGAAATAGAACTGAAGCAAAGATGCACTAAACACCATATAGCAAGTGACAGTATACTTCAGAATTTACCTATCCAACAGAAAAAAAGGAGAATCTCAAATCTGCAATTTTTTTTCGCTACATCTGTATTTATTTTATTCTGTTGTTATTCACATAATTATGAGGTGTGAGATTCCTTAGAAGGTTTCGTCGGAGTTTACTAGGCTGGCTGGGTATTTCTCTGGTTTCGGTGGTGATGAAGTGGATCCCACGGGTCCGGAAAACATTCAAATTTACTATATTAAAGATTTACTAAGGTTGCAAAGGAAAAGCTTTTCCCTGCTTTAGGCATCTTAATTTCTTTATACATTTAACATTCAGCATTTACTGTATTAAAGATTTATTAAGCTTTCAGAGGAATTTTTTTTTTCCCTCTCCAGGCATCTTAATTTGTAAGCTATACGGGAAGCATTATGGACCTGATTCAAATGGTCTGATGGCACTGAAAGCGCTACTATGATATAGATGCACATTAACATCCTTTTGGTTTTCCATTCAAAAAACATCCTTTTGATCTTCCATTCAGAAAACATCCTTTTGATCTTCCATTCAGAAAACATCCTTTTAATCTTTTGGCTTTTGTTTGTGGTCTCTGTTGAATCCTCTCTTCCTTATTTCTCCCCCGCTGGTATATTCCCCAAATCATTGGCAGACTGAATTGGGAAGTGCAAGGTAAAAGCTGGTTGAGGATGTTCCAATGGCAAAGCAATCCTTTGATGGAGATGTTTGCTCTGCATATAAGATTATGTGGGCATATAAATGTCGATTTATTGCAATGCGAATGGATTTTAATGTAATGAAGTTCAATATTAACTTTTATCGTCAAAATTATTGCACATACTAATGAGGTACTAAGATGACTACATTTTCCTACTTTCTGATTGCTTGGTTTTCGTTGAGCAAATGTTTGCTGGCATGGACCGGTACTTGCTTATAAAAGATGATTCACTTTTCTTCGTTTGCATGTATCTTCCTAATCCTTGTAGAGAATGGTGGTTTTTGGAGAGTTCTGAATAGATGAAGCTTTGCCTATCTAACAACCAGTTGGTTTCAACATTTTTTAGTCTGACCCTGTTTCCTGTTATGAAAAAAAAAACCAATACAGTTGGATTCTTTTATCGGGCTAAGAATTTAGAGAAGTGTAACTCTTAATTGAGTTGCATTTTGTCTTTGGTAAATAATGTTGGTGTGTGATTCTGTTTATTCAAAGCGAGCAAGCTTATCATAGATGTCCCGACTAGGTGTTGCTGCTTGTGGTAATTTTTGATTGTTTTTGTTTATCCTTTTTGCCAAGTTTGTGGTATTTTTACTCGTGAAATGTCTCGTCTTCTGGTTGGGAATCTCAATTATAATTCTTCTACGTTATGTTTAGGCTCCAGAGTTGCACATGGAAATCCACAAACAGGGTTCCATGCCACAAGCTATGGGACCAGAACCTTCAACATCGACAAGCACAAAGGTACACCCCCATCTCTTGATAGGAGCAATCTCTTATCCTTAGTTGCATTAATCGTACTGATTAATGCGTCTTGTTTTTCTTCATTTTAAATTTCTTCAAAGTCATGATTACTTTCCTTTCAGAGCCCTATTTTTCTCTTTCATTTTGTACGCCTTTTAAACATTTTACTTTACCCTCCATGATAATTAATTTGAAACATAAAAAGTCCTCTAAGATTGGTATTGAAGCTACGACTCTGCTGGTTTCATCAAATTTAGTTTCATTCTATCAAATTGTTGTTGCTTATTCACCATTATGTGTCTATTCTTGCATTGCAGAGTTCAAAAAAGAAGAAGAGCAGTGATCTCAAGTATGACATTTTTGGATGGGTAATACTTGCAGTTGGTATTGTTGCATGGGTGGGATTTGCAAAATCTAATATGCCGCCGCCACCTCCTCCACAATGAAGCCAGAATACAGCTTTACTGTCCAAGATACATGTTCAGAGTTTTTCATTTAGTTACTGAAATTAAGACTTTTGCTAGTGTAATAGATTAAATAAGAGCATTTTTTTTCTCTTGATATATTTCATGGAGTTCTGCTTTGACCTATGGTTTTAATTCATTACTATATTTTTATGCAAATTAATCTACTTGTCTTTCTTGGTTATAGTTTTAGCTAGATGTCGTCCCTGTAGTTGCCAACAAATGTCGCTTGACCACAATCCCTAGTTGCAAAGGACTTACTAGGAGTAACAAAGAAGGCAAGGGGGAAAAAGGATCAACATTGCTACAATCAATAAAGGTTGACAACCAAAATTTAACAATTTCAAGTTTAAAAAAATACAATTAAACTGAAATCACTTGCAACGCTAATATTTGTATTCACTCAACCATGGACAACTTCAACAGCAAAACCGGGCTATTGTGCCTTCTTTGTCGCTTGCTCTCCGCTAGAGGTGTTTTATTGATGATTATGCAGTGTCATGCCATGAAAATAGCGAGGGTGTTTTACTTTGAGGATAAATTATGTACGAGACCTTCCATACAGTTGAGCATACACAGCCTTTGTGCGATACACCAGAATCATGCTCAGAACAGCTGCAATAATGCATAGTCCCGACATTATCAAAGAAGTCAAGAAGAAGCAAATGGCACCTTCACACTTGAGAGGTTCATCCATGTTAAGAAAATTTGTCAAAACCGACGCCAAATTCAACTGTCCATCGTGGTGCTGTTGAGCTTGCTTTTCAGCTTCCATGTCATATATACTACTAGCAATAAGACCTGAGAATACTAATGAACCAGCTGGATTGGCAAGAGTGAGGAAATTGTACAATGCCCCAAAATTTTTTAAGCCAAACAATTCTGATGCAGCAGCTGGTACAATCGCCCAATGAGCTCCATAACCAAGTCCAACCAAAAGAGTACCAATGTACATTGCCCCAGGCCAACCCATAGCAAAGAAGAAATGGCCAAAGGCCATTATAACTTGGGCAACAGCCATAGCTGCATGTCTTGGATATGCATTATCCCTGTTTGTCAATAAGACAATGTTGTGTGAGAAAATTCTTAGAATTGAATTGAAACCATCAATGTATGAGCAGTGAATTTCATGTACCTGACAATTATTTCAGAAAAGTATCCACCCCCAATACGGCCAAGGAAATTCCATATGCTGATCAAGGAAACGAATACATGTGTGTTATTAGATCCTAAAGATTGGCTCATCTGTCCTAAGTTATCAATGACAGTTAAACCAGAACCAGAACCTAAAAGCAGTGAGAAAAACATAAGCCAAAAATCTGCCTTTTTTAAAGCCTGCATTAATGTAAAGTCCTCCCCCCTATGGGGACCCCTTCTTCTTTTGATCCTCACTGCTCCTTCAGCAGCTGCTTGGGCTAGTTTCACTTGTAGTTGGGCAATTCTTTTTTGCCTTTCTAAAGCCGGAAGCAAGTCTACTTCCTTTGGCTTCTCTTCTTCAACCTCACTAAATATAATTTCATGACCATCGTCGTGTTCAGAATTTTCAGGATCTTGTTTCTGTGACTCGGATAGTAGTAGTGCTTCTTCTGCTGGTACTCTTGGCTCTTGAGTGAAACTCAAGGAGATGGGAATCACAATAGGGATTATCAAGAGGATAAATAGAATAGCTGTGAAGATTATGACAACATTGTGGCTAACATCAATAAGGTCTTCAACAAGCATAACTCCCATTAAGTAAGAAGCCAAAAGGAGGCATATGCTGTAAATGAATGAAAAACTTAAACCATCGGAAGGCCTGACTTGTCTGTGGCCTCCAACAGGCCTGATTATAAACATGAGAGCGATAATTACCATTGCTGGTCCAACGGCAATCATAAATATAAGTGAAGCATGATCTGGGGAATGGATTACTGCATATATCTGAGTCAAAATAGCACCACCTAAGCCAGCAAATCCCTTAAGAATACCAACCACAGGACCACGGCTTTTGGGGAAGTTTTGCACACAAGAGACCAAGGCTGCTGTATTAAAGTATGTCTCACCGTTTGTTCCTACAAATATAAGAATGCACATCTGCAGAGAAATGGCTAAAATTAAGTCAGACGTTTGAGACAGGAACCATTGACGATTTAGCACTCTAGCAGATACCAATAAGTTATGCCAGTAAATGCCACGGATAAGAAATTACTCATTAAGATGGTCAGCAAATAAGGGACTTTGATCAACATCTTATAGAAGCAGAATGAGTATTGATCATATTGATATCCCAATGCAAAACAAAAATATCTTTGGTACTTTGCCTATATCACAAGCAAGTTGGAGTCGACTATATCAATTCTCACTTCTCACTGACTATGTCGCGCGACTTAAGCTCATTTGAGATCAATATTAACAAAATAAAAATAAAACGTACTAGAAGTTCTTTATATTTTCTACTGGAAATGAGAACATCTAGATGCAATTTATGTTAAGCACTTTTAGGAGATTGTTGATATGTCACATGGAATCTAATAAAAAAAGTAGAATAAGCACAAAACAAATGCTTGTTTAACATTTGCGATTTCTATTGTATGTATCAAATTCTGACCGTCAGATGAAGAGATAAGGCAAGTTGACGGTATTGATTCACAGATTAAAAAGCAGTCTACTTCAACCAAATATACTATTGCATCTCCCTTTTACAGACTTCCTCGAAATAAAAATATCAAACAAGAAAAAAGGAAAGTCAGAATTCTTGAAGTGCATCTGTATAGAGAAACATGTTCTTCGAAGCCACCTAAGCTGAAAGCTTTTTGGTTCGGCGAGAAAATTACAGATGAAGCAAAATGGATAAGTAGTACTCCTTAGATAATTGATGCAAAAGCAAACGCTTACTGAATGCAAGAATACCACACAAAAAGTTTGAATTTATTTGACACAGCAAATTTTTTGATTTAATAACCCCTGATTTAGTGACAACCCTATAAATTCAATGCATATCATGCAAGACAGATCACAATTGTCTTCCATTAACAAACATGGAATATATGCAACATCCAACTGATAGCAGAAAGTTACAAATGAAATGAGCGGACAAGGAAAAACAGCAAGATATCCTTTCCAAAGAAAAGAGCAGAAGGATACTCACAGCCCATAATGGCAAAGGAAAAGTTCGGCCAGTAACAATGAGCCAAACCCAACCATAACCAATAAAGTTCTGAATAGCACCAACAAGAAGTGCAGCCCATAAAGGCAAGATTTCACACAAAGTACCAGCCAAGAATCCAACACTATCACCCAAGTCCTTTGCCACACCCAATCGAGCAATCTGCTTCTGGTTATAATTCAGAGAGCTTTTAATTATAGGAGAAATGCTGCCGAAGAGATATCCAATGCCAGCAAATGTTTGAATCCACATTGCAACAACAAAAACCAGCCATCTGTTGTTGAAGAAGAAACCAAATCTTTCTTTCAAATGAGCCATCATTACTGGATATAATTGTGGCAATTAACAGCTTCAGAACTTCTCAAAGTTCAATCTTATTTTTTTTGGTTATGAACGAAGTTAATGGTCCTGTCTTTGTTTGGGGTGGAGGTGGGATACGTTACGTATGATTTCTCCGTTCAACTTCACCTTCTCTTATGTTTTTTTTAAAAGAGCAGAGCAGAGGAGCAGGGCATTAAGGTAGGACGAAGGTAAACTATAATGCTCGTTTCATATTACTCTAAAAAAAAATACTTTTAAACTTGTGGTGTGAAATGAATCACATATATTTTGTGTGGTTAAAAATAACGGGGAAAGAAATAATTCTTTTTTGTACGGACTAAAAAAAAATAGGATCGCATGAAATGAAACGGAGAGAGTATAAATTTATAATACTCTTGATTCTTGATGATGTTTTAATGGTGTTTGGAGAATAAAAACATGAAGAAAAGGGACCCGTTTTGATTTTAAAAAATAATACTACTCATCCATAGCGAGCCATAGGGGGCGGGAGATGGGGACGTAACACATTCATTATTTTAGACGCAATTTTCTATACTTAAATTAAAAACAAATTATATTAAATCGGAAAAAGCATTTAAAAAATCACTTTTACAATATCATAATTTTACCTTCCATTATACCTGGGTATCATTCATATTGTTGATGTTAACAAATTGACTTATATTTGCTCTTGGCTTTAACGAAATTTCAACCTAATGTATACTAGAAGAGAGTTTTAAATCAATAATCAATAGTTAAAAGTAGAGGGATAAATTAGATATTTTTTCGAAATATTTTGACAGGTAAAATTCATTCATTCCATGTTATAGCTCCATTAAAGTTAATGACCAATACAGAATAATTTACTAACGGTATGAAGGACTTCAAAATATAACAAGGAGTAAAATTAAAGTATTTTGTATCGTAAATAAAAAGATTGTTTGAATATAATACCATATAGAAAGAGAAAATATTATTTTATATATATA